TCAGAGAGAGTCATTGTTGAAAAATATTTGTCGTTGCTGTTGTTAGTCGCGAAGTCATGTCCGACCCTTCGCGACCCCATGGATAACATTCCTTCAGGCCTTCCTGTCCTCCACCATCCCCCGGAGTCTACTCAAGCTCAGACCAACTGCTTCAGTGACTCCATCCAGCCACCTCATCCTCTGCCGTCCCCTTCTTTTGCCATCTATTCCTAAAAATATTTAGGAATCCTCATATCATGGAAAAGAAGCTTTGTTATTCGAGCTGATAACTCATTGTCAGCACAAATATGGTTCCGCTGAAAGAGGAATCAATAACATAAGTTCCTGATTTTGCAACTGGAAGAAAAAACTTTGTGGAATAACATCAAGTTTTTAATTAGAACACAGCATTTAAATGGTTTACTGAAAACACTTTGTAGCAGGTGCATAGAAGGACTGTGGAAACCTTGATTCCCAGAGAAGCCACGGTGGAGTGTGAAAACCACAGAATGGACAGTTGTTTCTTACTGTGCTTTCTAAAAACCAAATGGGCGACGCTGAAATACTGCGACAGGGTCGGACACCATAGCGGACTTCCCCCTTGAACTCTCACAGTACCAGACTGGTCCTGCTCACTTTGAAAAGTCACGTGAGTGGAGCACTTCTGAAAGAAGCAGCTCAGTGACTGAGATACAGAGAAGCAGCAACCAAGCCATGAAGCTTGTCTGTGGAGGGGAGAAAAGATAACGACGACTTGAAAGAAAATGTGCTACTTCCTATTTCACCCTCCCAGTAGTTTTATGAGGCAGGGGGTCATAGGGCAAGGTGAAGTTAGGGAAGAGTGAACTAGTGAACCTGTAGTTATAGGTGCGTAGGCGTAATAGGTTGATGAATATTAACTCACACACCTTGAATAGACAATGGGCTAATTATAATGCACGTGTGATGTATGTAGATGTATGTTGAGGGATGAGATGGGAGATGTGAAGTAGGCGGACGGAAAGGCTGTAACTTCCTAGTACCTCAGCCAATGAGGGAAAAGGAGAGGGCTGTGGCGGATGGGTTGAGGAGTAGAATGAGCTGCTTTGTGTGTTGTATTTGGAGAGATTAGATGGAGTGGGCTCTCCCCATCTATTGCAATAAATGAAGGAATTGCCTCACTCTGTTGGCAGTCTCAGTTATTTAAATCGAGGGGAAGTACTTTTGCCGCTTTTTTGCGTAACTCTTCTAGCAAAAGCAAGCTCAGGCTCATGCAGACATTGTGTGGGCTGCCCATCTGATCGAAAAACCAAAGGCATTACCATGATTTGGACAGGAAGCATGGACTACGAGCTTCAGCCTTTGCTGGCTACCACACCTCCATGGCACTGAGAGACACTAGATGTGAATCTATTAAGCCCCACATTGCTGCTTCTAGCCCAGCTCAGAAAGCACTCCAACTCCCATGTATCAAGCTCTTTGTCCACACCCGTCTTGCTTACTCCTTCATCTCTTATTAGATTGTTTGCTAATTAGCCACTCTACTTTTCTTTAAAGAGAATTGCCAATACTGGAAATTGCAAAACATCCCAACTTTATCCCTTATTGTTGAGGCATGACAAACAACCAGCTGTTAATCCATTTTAACACAATGCTGTAAAGATTACTCCAAACATACGATATCAAAGGTTAACCCTGTTCACTTATATTGTCATTCTTGATTTAAATAATAATAATTTGGACAGCCCAGAAAATTAGTATGGCAGCTTTTTAGATGCTTAAGCATGGTTTAAAATGTTTTACTCACTGCAATAGTCACATAACATCTTTTGTGAGTACATCCGAAAAGCTGTCGAATATAACCTACAGAAATATACTTATTTCTTTTCAAACACAGGATGGAAATAGACCTCAAACACAGCAGTATTTTCTCCATAAAATTTTCATATTTCTAACATAATAGATGGAATGTATGGTATCTATTAACATTCCAGTTATCTCTGAACAAGGTAACTTTCCTCTTCACTAGAGGAAAGAGTCAGGATAGCAATGAACTGTCTTTGTTGTTAGGCAGTAAGAGACATAACACTTTCCCATGTCTGTATTAATTTCCTGGACTTTCAATTAGATTGCAAACATCAAGCTATTGATTCTGCTTCCCTACCTAGATCTTCCTAACCAATCACAAATTGCTCACAACAGCCTTGAGTTTTGTCAAATTGCCCTTTTAGGAAGTAGGAAGCAGATGCGCTTGGAGCAAGGAGGGTGCCTTTCCTCTTTGCTTGAAATGATTAATTTAACAAAATCTGGCTCCTGGAACTCAAGAAAGTGCCAATGAATCACTTTGGTTTAATAAAGTACAAAAATGCAGATGCTCTTTCTTTTGTATAGCACAAAACGCCCTGTTTTTGGAAATCGTAGCTTATTTTAGCGGGGTCTTTTCAAGGTTTTACAGCGGGCACTACGAAGCCTGCTCCATGAGCTCCTACCTGAACTCTTGCCATCAGTGTCTTCCCATGATTTTTCCACCATTAGGAGACTTTGTGCACGGGAGCGTCCTGTGTACCTTGCATATTGCAGGAGACTCTGCAATAGAGGCAGGTAGAAAGCAGAGTTCAGAATGCTTTGGACTTCAGTTCCTGGAAACCTCTGCTAGTATGGCAAATGGACAGGAATACAGAGCGTTGAAGTCCGTATTTCTGCTCGTCCACGCTCTAGGACTTGCTCCAGATACGTAGCCTGTTAAGTTTCACTCTCGCCTCGAAAGAACGGCTGAGACTCAGAGAAGAGGTTCAGACAACCCTCCCCTGCAGAGGCAGAACAGAAAGGGGTGGGCAAGCTGTATTTCGAGGTGCTTGCCTGCCACCGGTGACTGCCCATGAGCTTCCATGGAATCCCAGACTTCCCTGGGACACAGTTGGAAAACTAGGGCTGCACTGTCTTTGCTCCAGTGAAGTCAAGAGAAAAAATTCAAATAGGATTCAATGGACCAGACTGGTGCTTGGTAGAGAGAGAACAGCTGCGTTGATCCACTTCATTGCATAAGAGACCGAGTTAAGCTAGTGCCTCAGCCAAATCTTACTTCTGACATGAACTTAGTTGGTGGCCTTGGGCAAAATGCTCTCTCTTAGCCCAGTCAACGCAACATCTTCCGAGATAGGGAAGTAATATTACCAACCTTTCATAGAGTTAGTTTATTGATTCCTAAGGCATGTAAAGCGATCTGAACACTGAAAATGTGCTTCATCAGATGTAAACATCATACTTAGTGATGTTGAAAATTAAGACATGTTTCAAAAATACTTGTAACAGCTAGTGGTGAGTGAATTAATTTCACGTAAGGAAGAAATGCAGTGGTGTCTTCTAGAGGTCAGGAAAAAGAGTATGCCAAACTAGAATGTAAAAGCACTGTCATTTTTGAACGCCATGGGGTGGGGAGGGGTCGAAGATGTCAATGTGACGTCTCAGTTCAAATCTTCACTCTGTCTCGCTGTGTGAACTTGGGCCAAGCACGATTCCTTGTTCAGTCTAACCCACCAGACAAGGTCGTGGTCTCTGGGATCTCGCGTCATTTTGAGAACTTACCTACAAAACTTAAATGTAATGGAATGGATTTCTTCCATGGATTTTTCCAATTCCCTTTGAAAGCCATACTAATTGATGGCCATGACTACATCTTAAGGAGACAAATTCCATAGTTTAACTCTGTGCTATGTGAAGAAATCCTTCCAGTCTCTTGAAGACGCCCAGCCTTCCAGTCTCCTATCATTCAGGTTCATGGAATGACCCTGAGATTATGGATGAGGGAAGAATGTTCCTTCACACCTTGCATAATTTTGCACAATTCTGTCAATGTTTCTTGGATTACCCTATTCACACTAATTGTTGAACAGAGCTTTTGACAGAAAACAGAAGATGTTAAATTATTAATTGTACATATCCTATTTCTGAAGTCTTGTATCTTCCAACAAAGCCATTTGAATCCTGAGCCCTGGATTAATACTGATTGTTCCCAAGTAAGACCACCCTGGATATCTCACTTAAATGGAAGATATTATACCTGCAGTGCTCCTTCAAAGCAACTCTGTTAGAGCTAACAAATGCAGATTAATTAAGGATTTCCCTGATTTTTCAAGTATTTGATGGCTAAAGGCCTTTTGAAAACTGTGACCTATTTTAAAACAGTGATCTTCTGAATGCTTTATTTATACTGTTATGTTCAAAGTTTGGGCTCTGTGGATTTGGAAATTCTAAATAATTGATGATCTCCTAACCAAAAGGGATGTACATCAAAGTAAGAAGCATACAGTTTCTGTTCACTTGAAGGAGTTAGACAAACAAGCAAAACATGTGGGTAAGGATAGAAATACTAAAGGAAAAAAAGAAATAGAAAGAGATTTCAGAAATGCAATTCTATCGTGATATATTTCATGAGCTCCACTGGTCATCATCGATAAATCATGAATATAGTAAAAAGCACACACACTTCAAAATGAGGCAGTTTCCCCAAGTGTCCCCATGAGGTATATCAATTCTCAACTCTACTACATCTTTTAATTTCCCAATCTTACTCACTCTATTTTAATAATTAAGCTGCAAAATTACCTAGGACGTTGATCCATAAGGCACAAAAAACTAGGAGAAACTGCCAACGCAGCAAATGGGTTGCTTTTCTATTTATAATACCCTTTCGAAGTCACAATTAAACAAGTTCGGGTCAGCCTCTCTACCTCGACATTTCTAAGTTTAACATGAGCAACATAGAAGCTTGGCCTATGCTTCCAAATATAGAGGCATAAATTAAAGCCATGAAAGCAAGGGTGAGCGAAAATTCAACATATTTTCGTTAAGATATCAGCAATGTTTAGCACTTGTGAAAACGTTCACTTGCTCATTTGCATTGGCCACAATTAGTTTTATTCGCTTAGGGACATAAGACATAATCTAGTTGGTTATAAGGCAAGAGAAACCATGTTCTTCAGTGCCTGATCCTATTTATAGCCTGCCTTTTCTCTTAATGCAAGGAACCCAAAGTGACTCACATAATCCACCTCTTCTCCATGTTAATTTCACAACAATCCTGTGAGGTAGGTCAGCCTTAGTGCCAGCTTCTTGCTGACTGGAGACTGGAACTCACATCTCCTGAATCCCAGTCCAATACTCAAAGCACTGCACCATAACTTCACACCTTAGAAGGAGGAAAGAAGCACCAACTGGATGGGTGAAGATAAACTACAGTAGTAGTACAGAAAACAGGCAGAGTTACCTAACAGGATAAAAAAAGCGGGAATATCTGTGCATTTACTGAAGTTTGTGTGTGTGTGGGGGGGTGGATTTTGATCACATCTTTTTCAGCACAGAAAGTATAATCAAACAATATTCAGTACAGCTCCAAAATAATAACTCAGTGTTCACACTTCACAAGAACAAGCTTCTCCAACAGATAATTTGTTGTGTGGAAGTAAAACATCTTTGCTCAAGATTGTGCAGACTTTGCAAGAAATCCAAATGCTTCCTTTGAATTTAGTACTTATGTTGCATTTTGAAAGATTAAAAAAAAAAAAACCTTTAACATTCTGCATATTCTGAAAGCTGACAAAATGGAATGCATTTGAACCAATGAAAGTGACAAACATATTCAAGTATGTATCTAATTCTCCTATTTAAATCAAGATGTGCTAATATGTGCTTAACTTTGGCTGAATGAACTTCGGCCCAAATTAATCAGGTACCAGCATCCAAATGTCCGACTTTCAGATGGGAGTGAAGCAAACATGGTCTCAAATCTTATGCCACTAAATTAGTTCCAGAGCACAGTTTTAAGGAACTCTCTACGTAGAAAGGAGGTGTCTGACCTGGAAGATGTAGCAGAGCATTTTTACAGGTTGTTCAAAGGCCGGCTGTCATCGTGCTTTTTCAGTTGCCAGCACAATGTGCCTTACTTTTGATCCCCGCTTCACAATCCTAGCGCAAAGTTGATCATCAGTACAGACAAAAAGGGGATCTGTGCCATTCCTCGCTCCCAGAGACAGTGCTGCATAATTAGGACACTACAGCTTAAAAAAGCATCCATGTTTTCATACTAATTATGTGCAGCAAAACCGACAATATTAAAGAGTCTCCCCAAAATCCATTTGATAAACTGCCTTCATTAAAAAAGCCATAATTAAGGGAAAGCCCCTGATGCGTTATGAGAATTATCATTTAAAAATCTGCAACTGAACCTTCTTGTTTCTTTGTGCTCCTCCAAGGCACAGTGTGTCCCTGGGCTTTGAGTAAATGCGTAAGCGCGCCTACGAACAGGGAGGTGGGGATCCCTAGAAAACTTGGACAGAGACTTAATTTAGTATGCTTGTTTTACTTATACTTACTAACAAAGCAAAACCAAACCAAACCAACCAACCAACCAAAAAAGGTACGTCACGTGGATTTGTCAAGTATTTGACCTGATGTACTTGAGGGGAAAACGAAAACACATGGGATTAACATTTTATATTATGTAGATTTTTTATTCAAATACTTGTAAACATCGCTTTACACTGTTTACTTTTTATTAAAATACAAAGGTATTTCAAGCATCCAAAGGACACATTCCCATGGATCTGGGAGAGCGTGCCAGGGATGGTAAGAGACTGCCACAGCCTTGGGATAATGTCTTTGTGTTTCAACCTCTCCCCATGTCCCCTCTCAGCCAGGTTGCAAAAGTGATGACCAGATATGATCCCACAGAGGTCAAAAAGGAAGCTTTCCACTGGTGCAAAAGGCACGGGAAAAGAAGAGGGTTTGCAGAATTTATGTATTTATGTAAGCTTTTTGTAGACGGCTCTATCAGCACCTGCTCTCAGAAGTTTACAAATGTTTACAAATATTAAAACAACCTAACAAAACTATTTTAATTCTTAACATTTACATACACAAATCTTAGGTTTTCCACTGTATTGTGTCCTCAAGGTTGAGCCTAGAATGTTCTAGAAAGTTCATTGTAAAAGATCTAACATCCATGCCATTCTGTAACAAAGACTGACTTGTAGTCAATGTGGCAACATAAAATACAACCATGAATGTAAATCGATTCAGTGTTATTTGTCTCTGATGAACTACATGTTTACTTCTATTATCCTCTAGTATCTCAGGGCCCTTTCATTCGGGCCCACTAATGGGTTATTTTTATATGGGAGGAAGGGAACAGGAAGTAAAAGTACCTCTGTCTTCCTCACACTCTGGATTTCGAGAAGCCTCCAAGCTTGGAGGTTTATGCCTGAAGAGCGACAATCCCATAGGACTGGGGCTTATTTGATGCAATAAATGATGCAATGATAAATGCAATAACTAAATAAATTTTAGCAACCCAAAGAACGATGCATGATACTTTGGATCACCTGTTTTAACATATTTCCCTCTCTTCCACTGCTCCTGTCAACTCCCTAGTCACTCCATGTTATGCTATGATGTATCTGTATTTCACTTACATTCCTGATAAGGATAATCTTCTGAAAACAGTAATTACAACTTCGAAGCTGCCTCGTTTGCCTGATGCTGTAGGTACAGTTGACATCCATTCATTGTTACCGGTGAGCTTATGAACTGGAAACATTTCCATGGAAAAATAAAGCACCAAAAAAACATTTCCATTTTGGAAAACCTTCCGTGGAAATATCTCAACCCACACTGCTACTCATGCATGAGAATTACTAACATTAACATACTCCAAACATAAATATTTTATAGAAATAGCTTAACGAACAGGAGGCTCCTATAGACGCAGAGAAACCACACAACAGC